ATCAACGATTTAACAGACTTTAATTGCAGTGTTCTTAATCTTTATAAGTTAGTAGTACTGTTCGGGTTTACAGTGTGGGGGCGTGTTAGAACGAGCCGTTTTAGGTAGGCGTGGCTGACTCTTAACTTTTATAAATATTTTCTCTTTGGATTTGAGACTTTAGTCTTTGCAACTTTACAGATCTTCTTTATGCACCAAGAGCTTGTAACACTCCAAAGAGAAAGGAAAACTTGAAATCGCATCATATGACCCCTTTAATAAGCGGGGATGTTGTGTTTATCAAGGACGCGCTTCAACGACGTATTTGTAATGTGCATCTTTTCCTTATTTTTAATCTTTATTGTTAATCATTAAATGTATATTGATAAGAAATGTGATTTATATATGTAACGTGTAGCCTATAGGCTTATTTAATTAAGTGATTTTCTACAGTGTTGTAATCTTTTTATTATTACATTTCTTTGTGGAAACCACACACACACACATAAACACTCTTTTCAAACAGCATCCCAAGCTTGTAACGCACATGATATCAGTCACAGCATATCCTATATGACTACTAAAAATTACAAATTATATATAATTTTATTTCAAATAAACGGAAAATAAAGTGATTTGAATCCAAGCAGCTTTAAGAGATTTTAGAATAGTTCTCTGCATCCTTCTGAAGGCGCTCTGTCTGTGTTTGCAGTGTTGCTTTATGAATTAATTAAATGTCAGTAAGGAACAATACTGCACAAATTATAGCGATCACGAAGTATACCCCCTAGTATTGGTAGGTTTAGAAGTAGGTGTGGGGGAGGGGTTAGGATTAGGGGTGGGGTTGGGATTAGGCAATCAGGTAGCGACTTCAACGAGGGGGTGGATAATCTGGCAGGGGTGCAGAATTCGGCACAACACCGGCCCACTTCAATCACTGGTTTAATCCTAACTGTATGTTGAGTGCTGTGTTGCCTTCACAAGTAAATTAGAGATAAGAGAAAGAGAGAGTCTCCATTTCAAGGATTTATCATCACAGGATGATGATGTTGTGAAGCAGTAATTTTTGTTTTAGTATAATAACACTTGTTGAATTTGTGTTGGTCAGACAATGTCTTACTGAACATGGAAACTGATGCAACTAAGATTATTCAATAAACTCTAATCATTTTTACAATCACTTCATCTCCTGCTTTCTGAACGCACCTGTTGCTGTCTGCTTTTGGGCTGACAGAGAAAAAAAAATATTTTTTGTTGACTAATTTGATATGTGTGGTATTTTGAACTGCAGAGTCACTGAGATCCTCCTGTCTTCTCAGAATCGAATGTTAAACAAAAGTGAATGAACCGGTTTCTCCAGATGTACGTTCTGTTCCTGCAGTTTGTTCACTGTAAATCTGCAGTGTTTAATGTAAATCTGCAGGGTGTTTACTGGCAATTTTATAATGAGCAACTTGTCTCTTATCTATCCACAGAGTGCAGTCTGGCACCATACAGATCATGTACCTTCAATGTGCTCATTAATTAATGATTAATTATCATTTGGATAATTTGGATTCAGTTAATTTCATTTTGATGAGCACTGTTCACAATATAATGTTCTTTTGTAGAGAATCATACTATATGAATAAATACATTAAGGGGATTACAATTTTTACACTAGATGAGGTCCTAACATTATTTAAACACACAAAAGCTAATTGTATCAGACTGGAAGATTTGATGAAGTTTCTATCACTATCTTTGAGGAACATGTAGCGCCCCCTTCTGGAAAGAGAAAGAAAGAGAATCTGTAGATGTTTCTTTGTAGATATTCATGTATTCATGTAGAATCTCACTTTTCTCATTGATCCTCTGTTTAAAGGACTATAAACAATTAATTCATTTTCCTGATTTATTTCATGATGCTGCAAAAATGTACACCCATAGTGAGACTGAAGGGTGTTGTATTTGTGTTTTTTCACTAATATCTCATGACTCTTGTCACTTTTCTTAATATGTTGATTACCAGAAGCTGCTCTGTACCTTACCCATGATACTCTACGAAAGGTCATGATGATTATCCATAGCAATGTATAAAAATTGATATCTTTGAAGTTTTATGAAGATGAAATTATCCGAATAATACCAATTAAAATTTTATCAAAAACACAAAAATCTGTGATCTCAAACCTAGAACCAGTCGTTCTGACAGTCCAGACAGCAGAAGTGACTGAATGCAGTCTGTTCGGTTTGAATGACACGGATCATATATTACACCTAAAACATGATGATCATATTAAAACACTGACTCATTCTCCTCAGAAATACAAGATTCATGTTAGTTTAGATGTTATTGTGTTTGGCTGGAGGGTGTATATATACGGTAATAAATTAGGAGTTTAGGAGCTTCTCCAGGTTTCTGCTGATACCAGGCTAAGTAAATTAGTGAATTAGTGAATATCCAGTGAATTAGTTAATATCCTTCACAGCAGAAAGTACAGTATATTACATGGGATAAACATCCCACCTTAAAAAATAAATAAAATAAAAAAACTGGACAGGATTTACAACAGCTTGAGCTGCTACCTAATTAAATGAGCTTCTTATTAAATTAAGAATTTAAATTTTTGTGTGAACTATTGCTTTTAATGTAAAAATAAAATAAATTCTGTAAATGCTGTAAGTTAACACCTGATCATAAGGAGATGTAGTATGAATATTAGTCCATCTGAAGACACTTTCCATGTCAAAGAGGTCTCATCGTTAATGTTTGTAAATTCCCAACATTCTTCAAAATATCTGCTTTGATAATAGAACATTCAGAATTAATTCAACAGCTATAAAGTAATGTGTAATACATTTGGATATTTGTATATATAGGAGGGTAAATAGAGTTGGTCATGTGGAGACTGACAACAACAACGACAACAACAACAAAAGTTATTTAACTGTTTATACTAGTGTTTAATTTAAGTTACATTTTTATTCATACTGTGTGTGTTCAGTCATTTAAACCAGCTTAAAGCACAGCTGCTCTCCCAGAGGAAAGAAGAACTGAAAATGAGATCTCTTTAACATCTCACATGTTTCTTCTAATCATAAATGAGTTTACATGAACATCAAATGGAGACTTTTGCTTGAGTCTGCTGCTTCTCACATTTTCCTCCTGAGACAAAAACTCCAACACTCTCACATTTGTCTCCTCTAAAGTTTAGAAGAAATCTCAACAGCTTTACAAAGTGTGCACCAATTCAAATGTCTCAATATGAACTCAAACATTTCTTATTTCTTATATATGATATGTATTAATAATCAAATTAATCAAAAAATAATAAAATTGCCTTTCAGCAAAGAAAGCTCCAGGGTCACTGTTTCTGCAATAAATGATGTGGCCTGTGCACATAAACTGTACAGCTCTGTATGTAAGGATTTGTGTCTACTTGTATTTCTTCTAAGGGATTTTAGGAAAACATCTGAAACTATTGATACTAAAATGAGAGATATATGAGAACCACAACTAAGTCTCCTGAGCTTAGGAAAAGCGACCACTGAGCAATTATTTTTTTCCTTTGGTCTGAGACTCAACTGAGAAGGTTATGATGATGATGATGATGATTGCTTTTCATATGAATGGAGTGAATGGTAAAAGCAGGGTTTCTCAACTATGGCCCTCGAGATCCACTTTCCTGCAGAGTTTAGGGTTGGAGCTAAACTCTGCAGGAAAGTGGATCTCGAGGGCCAGAGCTGAGAACCTCTGCATTAAAGCATTTCATCACTCATCAGTGTGTTTGTAGTTTGTTCATATGAGCTGCATGTTCTCATTTTCATGTTGACTCTAGAATCCTGTAGTTTTGTCTTGTTTCCTGCAGGGGAGCTGGAGGCGTAAGTCAATGTGCTGAAACAGGATCTGGAAATTACAACTATCAAACCTGTGAAACTGCTGCTAAAAACAAACCAGATGAGTCCATACAGTATTATTATGTACATGTCATATTCAGTAAATTATCAATTAATGATCCTTCCTCGTGACTCTAGATACAGATGGAGGAGTTTGAGACATTTATTTAGTTCCTGAAAGAGGAAGAGGAGCAGACAGGAGTCAAAATTTAGCAGACTGACTGACAACAAAAAAGCTCTTATTTGTCTTATGAAACAACATACACATCCTGATAGCTAGTTCCTGTTACGAGTCTAATGTTCATTCATACTGTTTGTGTTCAGTTAAAAACGACAGAACTGCTTTGAGACTCAGCTGAGATTGTGATGATGCTCTGCACCACTAGAGGGAGAAGAAGACGAGACAAAATCAAGTCACCTTGACCAGCTGACTAAATGAAAGTAAAAGAAAGAATAACATTTTGAGGGTTTAAACCTATGCCTGGACACTTAAGTGGCAGCATATTGTGGTAAGTTCAGAAAATATTCTTATGTAACCATGTAGATAATTATACAAAAATTACTAAGTTAGTAAAGGTGAATGGTAAGTTATTGTGAGTTTGAAGATATTTCACTGCCAGGACAATTGTACTAGTTATACTATACAGTAAAATGACTGGAAACAATACCAGTGAACCAATAATTGTTGATTCTCTTGCACAAATGGCAGAATATGAGATGATCGTTGAATATCATGATGTGCGCTTAAAAAAAACTGCAGTTTTTACATTTGTTTTAGCTTACAGTACAAAAGCGGAGTTCTGCTCTTCTATTGTATCACAAGAACCAGATTATTACTAAAACTACTGCGTGTAAATTTTTTCACTTGTGCTGTAACAAATATTAATATCTGAATCAACAGTGAGAAATGATTATGTACCTTAGTATAATAAAACATGGAAAACAACTTAATATGTTTGAAATGTACTGAAAAATATTACTTTACAGCTCAAAACCATTTTTATTATACAATGATCGTATGCCAAATGAAAATTTATGTCATGACCCCTTTAAATACTGATATGTATCTTGAGTAAATTATTTGTAATGCTATTATAGTCTATTTTTTATGTTACAAATTACACTAATTGAATAATATATATCTACTGTATATAATCTACTAATATATATCTACTATATATTTAGCTACTAATATATATCTACTATAATATATCTACTAAATTATAAAAAATTATTTGTACTAATATTTCAAAAATGACTACATATTCTCTGTGGATTCACACTGCAAATGGTGTATGGTAATGTGCCTCGCACATGCTGATCTTGAGTTAACTTTGAGTTTGTGTTGACCAGTAGTTAGGGGTTTTTAGTTAGCTTTGTCTGTGTGCAGTCTCAGAACGCACTGAATTGAGTGAGTTGATTTGAATAAAAGCTCAAAACATATTTTATTGTGCAGTACAGAATCATTATCCTACACAAAACTTTACTTCACAGGTGAACATGCAAAGCTGCTAGTCTGTATTTAATTATGTGAATCTGTCTATTTAACTTTTTCTTTTTAACTATCTTTTTCCATTGTTGTGTTTCCACAAAGGTCTGCAATCATACTTTTTGAGACACAAGAGTAGGAAGGTAGTGCTTCTAAAATGAGCCTCCATGAGAAAAGAGAGAATGAAGACACTATTTCTGAAATGAGATCTCCTTCTCCTGACTCAAGCTGTGCATCTTTGTCTGATAATTACATTTGCAATCTGCCCCCTGGAATCAGTGATGCAGCAGAGACCTACAGTGACTCCAGGTATGACATTACATTTACATTTAGTCATTTAGCAGACGCTTTTATCCAAAGCGACTTACAAATGAGGACAATAGAAGAAATCAAAACTAACAAAAGAGCAACAATATGTAAGTGCAAATGGCAAGTCTCGGTTAGCCTAACGCAGTACACGTAGTAAGGTATATATATATATATATATATA